ACTTCTACCGCTGGCTTATTGGGGACATTTTTCCCCAGCCGCATCACTGTCTGGTATGGCAGCACTACTGCTATGGACCGCAAGCGCCTGCACAGAGTGGTAAAGACTGCGGAGAAGATCACCAGGACTCCACTGCCCTCTCTGCAGAGCATTTATCACCGCAGGGTGCGTAGGAAAGCTGCCTCCATCCTCAAGGAGCCCACCCACCCCCAGCACGGACTGTTCACCTCCCTACCCTCCCTGTAAAGTTCTTCTCTGACAACAATTACAATTTAAAAAAAAAAAAGGTTTTATAATCTATCATATATAGACCTCTCACCAAAAGTCCCCACATGGTTATATCCTTTTCTCCACAAGTAAATGACCACAACAAATGCTTTTTTTTGCCAATGTAGTGAAAAACAGTTGGTGTATCCAAACATAAATCATTTAACATCAAAATTCCTGCCACAGTGACACCACCGAAGTCATCATGTTGAATCATAGCTGACATATGTGATCCAGTGCTCTCATATGTTTTGCACTTTACTGTATGTTCTGTTTCCTACAACCAAAATGCAAACAGCAATAGGAAGTGTCGCTGTAACCAGGAACTGACTATGTAAGACAGAACTTAAGAAGGAGCAAAATGAGCTTTTTAAAGCAATTACAGTTCAAGAGGTAATGAACTCGACTGTTCTGTCAGTGGAGGGACATGGGAGCTGGAGAACACAAGCTTGTGAGATTGTGCACAAATGAAATCATTGCTTCATAACATGTCCCATCCATCCTTTCTCTGTTATTCCCTAAATCAATTACCGCTAATTAGGATGACGCCATGCAACTCTCCATCATCATCGGTTCCTCAGACCTCAGCCTCATATTCTCATTCACTTAAGCTGATACAACAGCCATTATCTCCCCAGGAAAATGTGCCAGATTACATCAAGTAAAAGTAGCTCGCAGGGGGTAAGTAAATTATGTTTACTTAGTTACATATCTGTCTGAGAACTTGCGTGCAGAAGTGTATATATTTCACATGCTTAATTCCTCAAGCTCAGTGTAAGCTAACACTAACTAAAACCATAAACTCTGACCCATAAATATGTATATCAGCAGCTCAGATTGGTTCACATAGGCAAAAATGCTGTACCACAAGCACAGTCTCTCTCCACCCACACACTCCACACATGAACTGTGTCCTACCTGTGTAACTTTCTCTGTGACGTTGTGCGTCCGGTCTATGAGTTTACATGGAGCTATAATGTCCATCTCCCCAGAGGGCAAGGCGATGAGTGGGTCAGGTTTGAAATCCACGAAGTTGAGAGTGATCTGCGGGATTTTAGAGATGGTTCGGTACCGCATGAGGTCCGAGTCTGATGTGGAATTCAGTATGTTGGACTTACTGTTTACTGCACCTGCAAACACACACAAGAAAAAACAATAAGGTTTAAATCAAAGGAAAGTGTAAAAAGGACTCGCTGTTTTACCACCTCCTCTTTCTCACCGGTGCTGCTGCTGCCCTGTCGGATACTCGCTCTCCGGTTCTTTCTTTCCCAATCGGGCCTCATGGCCTCAATCTCATCTACAGAGGAGGCGCGGCGCATGCTGTGGAAGCTTTCCCGCGAGCGGCTGTGTGACAGGGAGCAGGTAGAGCCCGAAGCGTCCGGGTTGAGGCTGAGGCGGTGGTGGGGTGCTACACAGGGTGACGACTGAGTGAGGGGACCCACCAGGTGGGTTCCGTGGGACAGAGGTGGAGGTGGAGGAGGATGCACAGGAGGCTCTGAGCACAGTAGGATAGCCTGGTCCTCCTGATGGTCTTCAGGCCAACTCTGCAGACCTGACCTAGAAAACAGAAAAGCTGTGATGGATTTTGACAGGATGGCAAGTGTCTTTCCAAACTAAAAGGCCCTTGAGCAAAACAAAATGCAGCTATTTTTAGCCAACTACAAAAAAAGGACAAGAAGATTTCCTTGCAAAATGCATTTAAGATTAGTTTTCTACAAAGAGCTTTACTTGTAAAGAAGTGCAAGAAATGTTCCACATCAACAGTAAAGAACCCTTTTTTAAGTCCCAAACATGTCCTTGGTCTACCTGCTTCCACTACTTTGCTCTTGGTGGTTTGGTGCTAAATGGGGAAGGGGCAGGAACTCCCCTAGACCTAAGGATTTGTCGCTGTGGTGCTCTGGGTGCAACGACAGGGGTGCAGCAGTGGGTATGTGACCGGCCTCTTTGTTGTCCAGAGACGCTTTACTGCTGGACAGGGAGCGCAGCAGGGGGAAACGCAGCTTGAAGCCTCGAGGATGACCTGGTGGAGAGAAGATGAAGGAAAAAACTCACTGCCTGCAGAGTGACAGGTACATTTCTAATATTAACGTGTGGCAGGAATAAGAGTAGGTGTGAGAGAGGGAAAGAAAAGTGTGAAAGAGAGAAACAAGTAGAGAGGGGATAATACTGGAAGATATATTCTAGGTAGTGGAGGTCATGCTATGAGAGAGGGAGTTTTGACAATTTCAGAGACAATCTACTGGAATCTCAAATAGTAACACTGAGTAAATTTAGGTTTAAGCCAAAGTAAAAAATGAGGAGTTCAGCTGAGAGAGAGACTACTACTTCTTTATTAATAGTTATGGCCATTTAGTGTCAGGTCGAATTATAAATCATTCAGTAGTGAGTGGAGGGCAACAAAGCAGCACAATAAATGAATTAATGAAGGAAAACTTGGAGCTTGTGTTTTTCCTGTGGTGCTCAGTGTTGAAACCTCGCTTGATAATCACAGAGCAGAAAGCAACAAACAAAGCAACAAGGTTAGTCATTAGCTACCGGTGACAAGCCAGGTGGGCAGGCGGTGGTTGAGTTCCTGTTTGCGGTATCGAAGTGCCTCCTCTGTCATGACCTCGAAGTTGAGGATAAACATGATCACAACGCCATCCTCATTCTTCACTGGCACCACGTCCACCATACACAGCAAGCACTGACCTGCGTGGGCAGAGGGATAGTAAAGCTGAGTCAGACTGATTGTGTTCGGTGGAGGCTTTTATGAAGGGCCTTTGTAGTTCCACAGTTTTACAAGTGGGATTAAAGCCTGCAACCCTGGTGAGGTTATTGGAGGTAATAGAATGAGCATGGGCAGCAGCAGAATGGACTTTTAATATCCAACACACAGTTCAAGTCACTGTTAAAAGCCTGAAATCCTACATAATACATCTTTGTGCAGAAACTAGTTATAGATGCACCCTTGCACGTTACCTATGGCTGTATAGTACATGCATTAATTACACAAGTGAACATTCACACACTTAATTGATCAGCACACACAATTGGACACATTTGCAAATTTCCACCTGCAGCAGCGAAAACAGTTAAGAGTGAAACTGGGCAACATATGACACCGACTGGGAGTTTTCTACAACATATAAAGAATGAACATGCAAATCCAGCTCATATTTAAGATGAACTAAACAGGATGTTGCTCCATGTGGAAACTTTTATTCTGTTATGGAATATTCAAATAGAGCTCCATGTAACAGACGGTAATAAAATGAATTTTACTCTCAAATTATTATTGACATTATTAAAATCCAATTTAAAGTGTCCCTCCAGACTCTACAGCTCCTTGTCCCCCACTGTCGTAACAAAACCATGTTACAATAAAATGCATCCATCTTGCAGTGTCAAAAAAAGGCCCCACAATGTGCACTAGCTTTCTGAGAATCATGAAAGCTACTTAGTGTGTGACAGCAATCCATACGTTAATATTTCCATCCTCTAAACACAGATGTCTATGCTGCCTAAACTTGGTTTTTGATGTTAAATAGCTACTATCACATTTCCCAGCATACCGTCCATTCTATCTCTTACCTGCTCAGTGATGGTCAGTGACCGGCTCTACAAATAGCAGTGGTTTAGGCAATGTGAAGCTCTTATAGCCAGCAAGGTTTGTTGTACAATGTGATGTACAGGTTGTCTGCTGCATGTCTGCCTAAATCACCCACCCACTCGCCTGTCACTCATGTCACAGCATTGCCGGAGAGTGAGCTGAAATCCGATTGGACAACTGCATAATCCACAGAGGATGAGGAAAATATGAAAGCACACAGAAAACCAAAGGATTACACCATCTGGCCATATCCAGCAGCATGTGTGTATGTGTGTTTGTGTGCATGCTTATTTGCACATTTTTAAGTAGATGCCCAGTTTAAAATTCATTCATAAGTGACCGGGTCATGGCCATTCATGCCTGTTTTCATTAACAACCATGACACTGCAGTTGCCTAAAGCTGCTTGATAAAGCTCAGCAACACCTGGTTCAAACATGGGCAAATTGCAGAACAAGCTTCATCATTTTTCAAAAGGTTTTTGGCCGTTTGTATTGCATTTCAGAGGCTATGAAAATATTTCTGGTGTACAGCAAAGATCAGGGTAGCCAAGAGGAACTATACTGAAAACCTGAAAACAGTTTTCAGCCAACAACCTTGTATGGAGAAGCCTGCAGGACATCACTGGTTAATATTGGGACCCTCTCATGTATGTAGCTGGGGAGGACAAAAATACAGAGACACCTCTGAACATAATGTAGTCCGGTACAACACCGCCTATGACCTCAGTAATAAACATATAATTGAATTTAGGCATTTATGACAACTTCACCAAAGACTGAAACATTTTGACCTTCCTAAACAGATATTAAGGTGAAAGTATTGAATTGCACACAGTCGTACAGGTGTAGTGGTGGCTGGTGAGCGTATATATGTATAGTATATGAACCACACAGTTACACACAGTGAGGTGTGAGTTCTTTTAGGTGCCTTTACTGTACAAAATATGACAGAATGATAAGGCACCTGTAAAGGATTAATAGCCACGCTGTCTAAATGTCACTACCACTGACACTGTAAGAGATTGTGCTGCCAAACGCATACAGCACAGTCAGCTGAATGTCTCATTCACTCGCTCTGCTCATGTCACACACAGTGCTATTAACAAATTACAAGTCAGTACCTGATACCTGCGCTTTCCAAGGCGTGGTTCCTACACCACAAACATGCATACATGTGCACGCAGGCAGACACACAGACCTCACACAGATTACATGTCACGAGGGTTTCAAAACACCAGCACTACACCAGGAGACATCAGTAAATTGAGGTCCATCCAGGTAAAGCACACAGGAATTAACTCACTCTTTAATTACATTTCATCCCTGCTGACAAGGCACAAAACATAAATGGACAAAATAAAATAAAAAGACGAGAGAGCATTTTTAACTCCAATTCACCACTATTCATGCTATTTATTTATTTGCCAGACTGTGCAAATTTTAGAAAGTGAAATGAAATTAATATCAAATGGTGACATGTTTTGGAAGCATTCTGCTTGCTTTGCAGATATTCATAACTTAATAAAGAAAACGGACTCTGCAGCATGTAGCTGGAACTTTGAGCATCTCAGCCTGTCATGTTCTTTTTAATTAAATCACGGAGCAATATAGTTTAAACCCTTTTAATGACCCCATAGGCTGCCCTCAAAACAAATTTGACACATATGTTGTTCTTTCTTCTCTCATTCATATTGTGGTTAAATGAAGATTTTGACCTGTGTGACCACATTGTTTTTAATCTGGCATTTCACATAGTGAGGGAGGTGGAGGAGAAATGGAGGGTGAAAATAGTGTCAGAAGACAAGTTTCATTTCCTCTGTAGGTCTGTTGATACTTCTCATCCTCCTCCATCCTTATGTGCCGGACATTCCTGCACACTCACTGTTCACAGACAGACAAGAATGCACACTTACACCAGACAGATATGTACATAAAAAATTCCAGAGGATGAACCATACAGTCCAGTGGAGATTAAAAAAAACTGTTTCTAGTTCAACAAAACATCTCACAGCTGGAGTTGTAATTCAACAAAACATTTACAGAACACAGAGGAATGAGGTAACAGAGTTCACGGAAAAAAAACAGAGCTGCAAAAACCACACAGTAAACTCAAGATCACGCAGACATGCTGTATTGTGCACGCAAGCAGGAGAATGTGGGGAAGTGGGTGAGTGAGAGAGAACTCAGGCCTAGGTAGTGGGAACAGTGCAAGTTAGAGGTCAGCTGATGCTATTTGAATAGAAAAGAGTTTACTCCAGTGGAAAATTCTGCAGTTTCCATGGTGCTTGATGAAGGCCAGAACTCTCAATGAGCGGTTAGCAGACAGTGCTTGTGGGCTTTGCAAATCGAGCAGACAATTAAACACTTATGCGCTGTATAGTATGGATAAATGTATTTAAGCTTGTTGCTTTTAAGAATTAATTAGACATATCTCAGTATATAGTGCCCTATTATAGCTGGTGATCACTCTCTCCATTTACTTTACTGTTATTCATTTGTGCGCACTTTTCGACCCTTCATCTTTCTTTCACTCCCTCCCTCACTATGGAGATAAAATACTATCAAAAATGTTACAAATGCGTGTTTAACGTTTTGTCTGTAACAAGCGATTTGTGTGTGTGTGTCATGAGGATCACAAATGCGTGCTGCGCAATCTGCACGTATAAAGCCATTTGTGTGTGTGTGTCATGCTGTTCACAAATGCATGCTGTACAAACTGCACATAAATCACATTTTACAAATGCTTAAAATCGATTTTTTTGTGTGTGCAGTTCTTTAGAAAGTACGTACACATTGTTACCTACGCATGCGTGGATGCTCTAACACACGAATCACCTTCCGCGCACACATGGATTTTTGAGTGTTTTTCCGCAAAAGTCCACGATCCACGAATGCACGGTGCGTTTAAGGACACGTGGAAAACTCGGACATCTGAGTTTCCAAACCTGTTTCCCAAACAAAAGTATTTACACAACGCTATTCCAAATGGACATTACATAAAATAAACAAAAATATCTAATACATAACACGTTTTAACAGAGAACATTTCAGATGGCTGCAGTTTGTGGTGCATGTTCTAAATTTTTATATATTTAGAATTTGGAAGTTATGAAGCTAAAGTTAATGTTCCGCCCTGCGGAGTTTATAGATTTTCCAGTAGGGCATATTTTAGTGTTGCACATATTCCTCCCGACAGAGTTTGTTGTGCTGCGTTTCAGTATCATCCTAAGCCCTTTTCTAGTTTTGCTCTGACCAAACAATCAGAGGACGGAAAATCTTGACGTGATTGTGGGCCAGCTAGCTGGCCCAGTGAGGCAAATTTGAAATCTGATTGGTTAAAGAAACAGTCCCATTGCTAATATAGTTTAAGTTACATTAATTTATTCCCAACAGTCTGTTCTCTTCATTTCGTAGTATTTCTCTTGGCTGCACCGCTTCCAGTACGTGTATGTGGATGTTAGATTGTATTCTCATCCTCCTCCATCCACAGACAGACAAGAATGCACACTTACACCAGACAGATATGTCTGGCTAAAATTTGCACAGTCTGGCAAATAAATAAATAGCATATGTGTCAAAATTGTTTTGAGTGTACTGCCTCACTGGGCCAGCTAGCTGGCCCACAATCACATCAAGATTTTCCGTCCTTGTTTGGTCAGAGCAAAACTAGAAAAGGGCTTAGGATGGTACTGAAACGCAGCATAAATTAATGTAACAAACTATATTAGCAATGGGACTGTTTCTTTAACCAATCAGATTTCAAATCTAACAGCACTTCTGATTCTAAAGGCCCTGGGCAGATTAGATTGACATGGCAACACATAGAGGCTGAAATCTGATTGGACAAAAAATCTAACATCCACATACACGTACTTGAAGCGGTGCAGCCAAGAGAAATACTACGAAATGAAGAGAACAGACGGTTGGGAATAAATTAATACAATTTCATGGAACAAATATTAGAATTTTGGTTGTAAATGTAGGTCAGTGCTTCTAATAGTGTTTAGGCCAGCAGAGAATGCCTTGCTGGCCCTGACGGCCCGCCACTGATATTAAATCTATGCTCCACGGTTTGTCGTGCTATGCTAGATAAGTGGAT